ATACAAACTCAGCACACAAAATCAGTTGCATTTCAACACACAAAATCAGTTGCATTGTACATTAATAATGAATAATCTGAGAAATTATGAAGATAATCCCATTTATAATAGCATTAAAAAAATAAAATACTTAGGAATTAACTTAACCAAGGAGGTGAAGGATTTGTACAATGAGAACTACAAAACCATGCAGAAAGAAATTAAGGACAAAAATAAGTGGAAACACATCCCATGTTCATGGATTGAAATACTTAATATTGTTAAGATGCCAATATTACCCAAAATGATCTGATTCAATACAATCCCTATCAAAATCCCAATGATGTCTCTTGCAGAAATAGAAAAACTCATCCTAATATTCACATTTAACCTCAAGGAATCCCAAATAGCCAAAACAATTTTGGAAGAAGAAGAAAGCTGGAGGAGGCATACTTTCTGATTTCAAAACTTAGTACAAAGCCACAGTAATCAAAACAGTGTGGTATTGGCATAAAGACAGAAATATAGGCCAATGAAATAGAATAAAGAGCCCAGATTTAAACCCTCACATACATGATTAGGTGATTTTTTACATGGGTGTCAAAGCCATTCAATAAGGAAAGGTCAGTCTTTTCAACAAATGGTACTGGGACAACTGGATAGCTACATGCAAAAGAATGAAGTTGGACTCTTTCCTAACCTCGTATACAAAAATTAACTCAAAATGGAAATGTAAAGCCTAAAACTATAAAACCGCTGGTAGAAAACAAGGAAAAAGATTCATGACATTGGACTCGGCAGTGATTTCTTGGATATAACACCTAAGGCATATGCAACAAAAGAAAAAACAAACAAATTACACTTCATGAAAATTTTTAGTTTTCTCATCAAAAGACAGTATCAACAGGATAAAGAGACAACCACAGAATGGGAGAAAGTGTTTCCAAATCACATATCTGATACAAGACTAATATCCAGAACATATAAAGAACTCCTAAAACTCAGCAATGACCAAAAAACAAAAATGAAAACAAAAACAATTCAAAAACGGGCAAAGAACTTGAGTAGACATTTCTCCAAAGAAGATATACAAACGGCTAATAAGCACATGAAAAGATGCTCAATGTCACTAAGAATTAGGGAAATACAGATCAAAACCACTGTGAGACACCATCTCACACCCATTAGGATAGCTACCTTAAAAAAAAATAAGAACAGGAAAAATAACAAGTTTGGCATAGATGTGGAGAAATTGGAGTCCTTGTGCACTATCGTGGGAATGTAAAGTGGCATATCCTCTGTAGAAAACAGTATGACAGGTCCTCAAAATATTAAAAATAGAATTACCACATGATACAACGATTCCACTTTTGGGGATATGCCCAGAGGAATTCGAAGCAGGGTCCTGAAGAGATATTTGCACACTCGTGTTCATTGCACTGTTATTCACAATAGCCAAAAAGGCAGAAGCAGTCAAATGTCCACTGACAGCTGCGTGGGTACACAATATGGCATTACTTTGCCTGGTAATACACGCAATGGAATATTATTCAGCCTTGAAAAGGAAGGGAATTCTGACACCTGCTACAACGTGGATGGCACTTGAGGACATTATGCTAAGCCAAGCGCAAAATGACAAACACTGTATGATTCCACGTACATGCGGTACCTAGAGAGTAACCAAACTCACAGAGACACAAAGCAGAATGGTGGCTGCCAGGGACTGGAGGGAGGGAGGACTGGGGAGCTGTCGTTTAATGGGGTCAGAGTTTCAGTTTTGCAAGATGAAAAGAGCTCTCGGGATGGATGGTGTGGTGGCGGCACAACAGCATGAATGTAGTTAACACCACCGAAGTGTGTACTTAAAAACAGTTAAGATGGTAAATTTTATGTTATGTATATTTTACCACACTAAAATTGTTTAAAATACACACGTGTGTATGTGTAGGAGATAAAACTAAACAAACAAGCCAAAAAATCCAAGTAGAGTGATAAGCTCGAAATTCAGGTTAGCTGTTACCTGGCCCCTGGGGAGGGTGTAAGGGCAGGACAGGGGAGGAGTGCCCAGGTGTATGTGAGTGATTGGTAATATCCTGGATCTTGTGCTGGATCTTGTGTGTAGACAGGTCTTCATTATGCTGTAAATTAAATGAATTAAAATGGGCCCGCATGGACCTATGGGGATTGTGGGTCATGACTTCAGAATTACGATCAATCTAATTCTGTCTACCCAAGGGCAGATTTGAATATGTAAATATGTGTGAGGGTGTGAGAAATGGCTCCTATCTACTCGCTGATGAACTCACACCGGATTGCGTTGTTTGCATACAAGTTAGTGACTCTGGAAGCCCTAATGTGTCAGGAATATTTACAGGAATTCTACCCCGGAGAAGACATGAGGGGTATGTGAGCTGCTACAGGGAACAGGGATAAACGTATTCA